CTTAGGGCATGGGTGAGGGTGGAAAGACAACATGAGAGGCAGCAATGGGGCTGATGTTTTCGTGGCATAAAGAGGCTGTAGCCAGTTGTAAAAGTTAGTCACTCTAACGCCAGATTTATTTTTATATGCGTGCCTTGTTTGTGCCGCATGAATGCCTTATCCACCTCACCGGTCCAACGGGCACCTACAGGACAAAATGCAAACTGGCATAGATACGCACGACAGTCGCCAAAGCGCCCACACAGCGAATCACTGGATGCAGTGGCGCCCTCCGAATGGTGGTCAATAACAAGGAAAAGCACGAAATGTGGAGTCAGCGGAGTTGGAACTTTAGTCAGTCGTGATAACATGCATCTGAATGCCTGCTATCACCGATAAGGTGTACATTTGGGGTTAGGATACAATTGGTCACGACTATCAGAAACAGACATGTCGGATCGCCTGCTCCTCGGAAATAAGACGAACACACGTTACATTTCAGGCCACACCAAATTAGCTGTCTTGAGTTACACGACGATTCGAATCCTTTTGGGGTGTTAAAGAGAGGATGAGGCGAGTTCAAAACTGCAGTAAAGACTAAGCTGATATTCAGACAAAGTAGGTTTTCGAGGCATTAATAAATCTTGAATAAGAGTTCCATTTAATAGAAGTCGCAAACGGTGATTAAATGCAGATAGTTGAATTTTTCCACAATAATATAAATAGGCTTACTGTTTCCATTGAATTTCACATAGTCTTGCTTCTTTTAAAATATTCGCATCCAGGCTGGACTAAACTGTACATTCGATTCAGCATAGAACTCCGTTGCAGAACTCTTGGCAAGAATCGAATCTGGCTAGTGTAGCGTATAATATTGGCCTGCCGCCACTACGCAGCACTGCTACGAATGTTCTTGTATAATAGGAAAGATTTGAGTGTTATGGAAGTCCAGACTTCTTTCATAACACTTCTAAAGTGAGATTGTCAATAGGACAAACTTGAATCCTTAGTGAATAAGTAGGTTATTGAGACTGCCAATCGATCTTATATAAGAATTATATTCATCATATTTAGTTTAAGATTATGAAGGAATGATAGTCTAATTTTTCAACAATGCTATGAGTAGGCCTTATATTTCCATAGAAGTTCACATCTTTGTTTCCCTAGGTGGACTGCAGTTTAGACTTGTGTGAAAATTCTACTACCAGTCCTTCATCACGTTAAACTAAATAGGGTGGATAGAGCTCTGAAATAAAACCTGTATTTTGCCATCACTATCGAGTACGTTACTTAAATCGGGATAAGATATGTTTTAGATACACTGAGTAAATCTTTAATAAGAGTACTCATCACCCTAGGTCGGATAAGGTGATAGTTGTTTCATAACTAAATGAACAGATTCTAATGCAAAATTAAATCTTATAATCAATTCATCAGGAGGAGAATCGCTATCAGTTAATATAATACCTTGAAAAACTGGGGTATACTGACGAGTTGGAGATTGTATATGGAAGTCCTTTTGAGTATCTGTCAAAGTTGGCGAGATCAAGGACAATTTGCAGACAAGCTGTTTCCTCGTTTAGGCGACCTGAGAGCAAGTGTAACCCGACTTTCCTTGAAAGGAATTC